ATTTTCTCTGACCACAATGGAATAAAACTAGAAATCAATAACAAGAGGAACATTGGAAACTATACAAGCACATGGAAATTAAACAATATGCTCCTGAATATTGGGCACCCAAATTGGAAAGGAGGAAGTCAAATTATCCTTGTTTGCAGATGATATGATCTTACATTTAGAGAAACCTAAAGACTCCACCAAAAGCTATTAGAACTGGTAAACAAATTCAGTAAATTTTCAGGATACAAAATCAACATATAAAAATCATTAGCATTTCCATATGCCAATAGTAAACAATCTCAAAAAGAAACCAAGAAAGTATTATTACAATAGCTACAAATAAAATACCTAGGAAGAAACTTAACCAAAGAAGTGAAAGATCTCTGCAATGAAAACTGTGAAACACTGATCACAGAAATTGAAGAGGACACAAAAATATATAAAGATATTTTATGCTTATGAACTGGAAGAATCAATATTGTTAAAAAGTCCATGATACCCAAAGAAATCTACAGATTAAATGTAATCCCCATCAAAATTCCAAGAACATTCTTCACAGAAAAAGAAAAAATAATTCTAAAATTATATGAAGCCACAAAAGCCCCAAAATAGGCAAAGCCATCCTGAGCAAAAAGAACAAAACTGGAGGAATCACATTACCTGACTTCAAATTATACTACAGAGCTGTACTAACCAAAATAGCAGGATACTGGCATAAAAACAGACACATGGACCAATGAAACAGAATAGAGAATCCAGATATAAAGTCACATATCTATAGTGAACCATTTTCAACAAAGGTGCCAAGAACATAAATTGGGGAAAGGACAGTCTCTTCAATAAATGGTGTTTGGAAAACTGGATATCCATATGCAGAAGAATGAAACTAGACCCCTATTACTTGCCACATACAATCAAATAAAAATAGATTAAAGACTTAAATCTAAGATCTGAAATTATGAAACTACTGAAAGAAAACATTGGGGAAACCTATCCAGGACATTGGTATGGGCAAAGATTTCTTGAGTAATACCTCCACAGCACAAGCAACTAAAGCAAAAATAGACAAATGGGATCACATCAAGCTAAAAAGCTTCTGCACAGCAAAGGAAACATCAACAAAGTGAAAAGACAACCCACAGAATGGGAGGAAATATTTACAAACTACACATATGACAAGGAATTAATAACTACAATATATAAGGAGCTCAAACAACTCAATTGGAAAAAAATCGAATAATCCAATTAAAAATGGGTAAAATATTTGAAAGACATTTCTCAAAAGAAAACATGAAAATGGTCAACAGGTATATGAACAATGATCAACATAATTAGTCATTATAGAAATGAAGTCAAAGCTACAATGAGATACCATCTCACTCTAGTTAAAATGGCTTTTATCAAAAAGACAGGCAATAATGGATGTTGGTGGGGATGTAGAGAAGGGGGAACCCTTGTACACTGTTAGTGGGAATATAAATTAGTGCAACCACTATGAAGAACAGTATGGAGGTTCTACAAAAAACTAAAAATAGAACTATCATATGACCCAGTAATCCCACTGCTGGGCATATAATTCCAAAAAAAAGGAAATCAGTAGATCAAAAAGATATTTGCACTCCCATGTTTACTGTAGCACTATTCACAATATCCAAGATTTGGAATTAAATTAGACAGTGAGAAAGTCTAACAAATGTTTAAATGGAATCCCAGAATGAGAGTGGAGATTGGAGCAGTTTATATTTGAAGAGATAATTGGCTGAGAACATCCCAGAAAATAGATGATAATAATTCTTGGATTAAAGTAGCCCTGTGAACTTCAGGAAGGAAAAATGAAAATAAATCTACACCTAGAATCATCATACAGTCATGTGTCACTTAATGACAAGGATATGTTCTGAGAAATGCATCCTTAGATAATTTTGTCATTGTGCAAACATCATAGAGTGTCCTTACACAAACCTAGCTGGCATATAGGCATAGGCTATGTGGTATAGCTATTGCTCCTAGGCTACCTGTACAGCATGTTACTATACCGAATACTCTAGGCAATTGCAACTGTAGGTAAGTATTTGTGTATCTTAGCATAGAAAATTTACAGTAAAAATATGGTATTATAATCTTATGGGACCACTGTCATACATGCAGTCCATCACTGACCAAATCATCACTATGCAGCGCATGACTGCAATTAAAAATCCTAAAAGTAGACAGAACAGATTACCCATAAAGGCATACTTGTTCCAAAATGATGATTATGTCGTGCTAACAAAAAGCCCCAAACTTTCAGTAACTTAAATAATAAATGTTGATTCTTTATACTGCATGTCCTTCTTGGTTCAGACTGGGACTCTACAATTTACTCTGGCACAGACACTGATGGAGCAGCTATTGCTTGGAACATTGCCATCATTGTGACAGAGGAGGAGAAAAATCTCTGGAGGTTCAAATTGGTGCTTAAAATTTCTG